ACAAGTAATATGTTATTTGTATGAAAAATAGATAAATAACATTTAGATTCGTCGACTTCAGGGAAAGGGTTAATATCCGATGTTTTTTTACAATTCTGTAAAGATCGTAAGTAGTCGACGAAAACTAATTTGTTAATGTATTTCGTTGGATTATCGCTAATTCATTTTCAGTTTCTTCTTCTATAGATATCTAGCTGTCGACTCGTGTTAGTGTCAATTCCAAGAAACACCCTCCATTCTCGATAGGAAAAATAATTTTCCCAGCAATTCGTCCCCTTCTGTTCCTTACCCTTTCACTTATCTCAGATGGACACCGCGCCTCGTTACCACCCTCCAATGGGTACACTTTTACCAGCAACAAAATCACACGAGCCGCTTTTTACCGAGGCGCGAGCACTTACGTTCTTATCAACGGATCGACTGCCTTCCAGTTGACTAAAATTGCCGCACGAAAAACTGCCGAGCTAGTTTCATTGCCAGTCACCATGTCTAGACATTTCGAACGTACTCATTTTGCTTTCTATGAAATAAAACCTTTTTTTCGATTCAGAAGAGATTTCGAAAAATTGAAAAAGTTAAAAACAGCTTTAACGTACGAAAAACATTTCTTCAGTGGAATTCATGTTAACACGTGAATCGTTGATTACGCGAAGCTTGTAATTTCTTGTGAACTTTCAATTGTAGTGGCAATTACAGCAAGTGGTAGCTTTTAACATTTTTTAAGACAAGCGATCTACTTCTTCGACCGTCAGTGTTATCATTTGATTTTGATCCTGGTTCAAAAATAGCAAGTACCATGTAGCTTCTTTATTATGATACGTGTAACGTTCCATTTCCAAATCATCGAACAGGTTCAATTATGCACGGAAGAAGAGAACCGGTTAGGTTACATTAAAATATAAATGTAACAACCGGCAACTTGGAATGAACGCTAACCGACCTTAACTAGCCCACGATCTATTTGTCCGAGTCACGACACTTGTAACCACTTATGATTATCATAGTCGTAACTTCTAAAGGACAGATTACGAAAGAAAACGTAATAAGAAACACTTTTTTTCACTCTTCGTGTTACCGTTTTCTTCCAACCGTTTCTACTATATTAAACGATATAAATCACAATTTAAACGAGAACCTACGCGTTAAAAATTCTAATAAAAATCACAAAAGTACACGAGCGATGCGCTTTTATAAAACCCGGAAACGTTCATATGAAAATGATCTGTTGTTTCAAATAATTTTGTATCTCTTCAAAGAAATCTGATTGTGTCGTCTAAATTATTCACGAACTTCTGATTGACGGTACAAAGTTTCCGTCTATCAGTGTTGACAGATTCTAATATATTTACGTATTCCATGTACAGAACTTTGAAACGAAAATGATCGATGGAAAATAAATTGGCATATAGTACGTGTACTCGTTCCCTTATTTCGACAAAAGTCAACAGAAATTCTGACAAAAGCGCCTTAATAGCTTTTGCAATTTGAAACAAAAAATTCGAAATTCGTCATGTTGATGGGTTTGGTTGTTCTGGTGTCGACACAATGCCGGGAACGAGAGATCTCGTTTTTACATAAATACGCCTACCTATATAACTCTGCTAATTGCCGGGCAAAATATCAAATTCGAACAGAACTGATTATCTGTTTCACAAAATACATAGAGATTTAATTTAGATATAAAATAAAATGTAGTAAGGCTAAGTATCTGTAATGTCTTCGAATTTAGAACAATTTTCGTCGCATTCGTATCAAATTCTCTTCTTTTTCTACTAAATTATTAACAATGAAGTAGTTTATCAAGCACAGTTTCAAAAGAAATCCTAGAACAAGGGATTAAAGTTTTAATGCATCGATATGAGAAATATCGAAATAAAACATCTTCTTCTCTTAACACTAGATTTACGGAACACGTAAATTAGACATACTAATTCTTTCTAACATCATTTACCAAATGTTTACGTCGATGTTGATCAATGATATAACACAAACGTGTTTTAATCGTCTATCTCTAAACATCCGAGTTCCAAAATCCAAACAAATGCACAACAATCTTCCTAAGACAAATGGAGCGAACCATAAAATAAACGTCCATCGACCTACCGTAAATTCAAGCGTGATTCTCGAACAAATTAGTTCAAAAAAATGCTGTCGATGCCTCGTCGCACTATACAGAACACCTCTAACAAATTTGTCGAGAGCAGTGGGTCGAACAACCATTCCTAAATCATAAAATCACAGGTGTCCTCGTAGAACCGAAAAATCTGTTTCGGCGAAGGGATGGAGGCAGCACGGTGGCTCGCCGAAAGGGGGAAAAAAACTCGTCCGTCTGGTTTCTAACGATCCCGTGGGCCGAAAGCGGAGCCCCCTCGCGCGTTCGAGTTTAACAAGATTGTCGCGTGCACATCGGTGCAAGGCGGCACGTGGTTCGGCGCGAGTGTGTTCTCGCGGTTGAATTCTCGAGACGCGTCGGGAGGATCGAAGCCAAAAGCTGCAAGGATCGATTTCAATTTAGCGGCCGTTTAAGCGTGCACGCTCGTGGCTAACGAGCTTTCGAAAGTCGTAGATAGCCGACAAGTTGGCCTACACGGACGGCCGCGGCTCGAAACTACCCCTTCGGAACTTACCGCAGTCAGCCGGCGAGCACCGCGAGCACACGTGTAACACGACACCGATAACTCCCTTACATACCTATAGAATATAGAATACGCGCACGCCCGTACAGGGCCTCTCATCGCGGCCGGTCCAAAAAAAATCCAAGCAAAAACCGTCACCCGTTTAGAGCCGCCTCTGTTCCACGCGTTCGTCAACGGATTTTAGACCTTTGAGCTACGATTTTTCCGCTATCCCCCCCTCCCTTTTTTACCGATACCTTTAACCCGTGATTCCCGTAATGATGGCGTACGTCACGGTCGGGTACTTCAGTTTTACCTTACCGATGGAGCACTGTTTAACCCCCTCATACCTGACGCACATTACAATATACGCGGTTCTAGTGATTCTAGATGAAATGTTCGAACTGCGACGGAAGATTTTGCTTTTTGAGGTTATGTTCGTTGGAGAAGTAGCGTATTTACTATGTTTTATTCGAAATGCATTATTAGTGGCGCATCGAACGGTTTGGCCACCGTCGTGGATTCATGAAACATGAATTTGAAAAGTAACTCGGGTTAATTTTATCATTTTGCTATGACTGATAACGCGGGAGCATTAAATATCCGAAACTATTATAGAAGTTAACGATCTTACTTAGGTAATCCATATCAGCGGAAGCTGAAAAGGAATTACACATTAATCGCGTTGAAACCACTACGGTTCTAGCGCAAAGACGCGCAGGTCTAGTGACATATGCGCGATAACATTTTCGTTATAGATCGACGCTCTCGGAACAAGGATTTTCCCAAGTAAAGTCACAGGAGGGGAACGGACAACAAAGTCTCCGTCGCTTAAGTAGATCAACAGCTCAGGCGTTTTGCGAAGCAGTCTTATTAAGGATGTTATCAGCCGAATAACTCCTTTGTACACGTTTCGGGGCAAATTGTCTCGAAATTGACGGTCCATTATGAATACTTCATTTCGCCGGGAAGCGCATACCTTAATTCCAATCGAACAATGCGAACTTTAACTCAATATTGCTCATTAAACGCCGTTAAATAGCCCCCGCAACATTCGCCGGAACAACTCTCGAGAGTTTCGAAGTAGAAGAACTTCCGGGGAAAAGGAAAAGGGGGGAGGGGAGAAGCTGCTTCATTTAATTCGAGGTCCGTAAAGAAGGAAGCATATTTCGGCGAAGGATTTAGCGTGGGTTTCATTTCACAGATGGTCAACCGGCATTATCAAAATGGAACGACCTGTGCAGGGGAAGCGTTCCCGGGGAACAGTCGATCCAGTTAGGGATAGAATTTCTCAGCCGGCCGAGATAGGGGATGCCCGGTTTGCCTGATTAAAGTGGAACACCCTGTACGTATGTACGCCGGTGTACATAGATACATCGTAAGATCTCGCGGTGGCAGGCATTGTTAACGTCTAGAAAGGATAAGAGCGCCGTGGAAGGTGGCCAGGAACTGTTTTACTGCTTTTCCAGCGTCGGCGGCTAGTCGATGGAATGGCGTGCTGCGGTTCTCCTTTCGAAGATTAGAGGGAGCGTGTAGGCAGCTGCGAGAAACGAATTTACGTTCGGCAGGTAGATTGCACATTACGGCCGCCGCCATTTTCTAACGGGCACGGTTTCCGCGTGCCCGGG